ATTAAGTGGTACTTAAGAAGAAGGGATGCATGGAAATGAGTTCAAAGAATCTCAGAACCACAACCTTCACATCATTTCACTGTTAGTTTTAAGCTACCATCGGTAACCAGTGTGGTTTTTATAAAAGGGTATATTCTCAAACACCCTCCATTGATGGTTTGCAGGGAATACAGATTGGAGTAGAAAAGTGGGAATAACGAAAAGGAAAGTCAAAGTAAAGAAGGGTATGATCATTTTTGGGGTTTTTAAGGAAAGAGAGAATTCAAGAATAAAACCTTCTTACATAGTTGCACAAATGCATTCCTTGCATTCTAAAAAAGTATCTCTCCAAACAAAAAACTAAATGAAAGAGCACAAACTTAATTTGTACCAAAAAAAGTAGTTAAGTTTCTACATAGATTATTTACCTGAATAACACGTTTTGCAAGCTTCACTTAAAAAACTCCCGTCAATTTTCTAATTAGGTATTTTAAGTTTAGCCACAACATTGCATAAGAAATAAATCATCAATAGTCAAAGTAATATGCACACAGATTAGAAATGCATAAAATAAGCAAGAAATTATAGGCTAGAAGTTTACAGAAGGATAGAAGGATCTATTGATAATATAAAAAACTCTTCAATGTAAAAAACTTAAGAAACAAAGTATCATCTCCTGGGCAAACATAACATAAAGTTTCAATTCAAGCAATAGTTTTCAAACCATTTTGAGGTCAATAAGAAGAAAAAAATCAATAGCTATTTAACAAAGGTAGGTCACATGGTAGGAGACAGTCAACTATCTTGTCAATACTACTGAAAAAGAAAATAAGTGTCAAGTAAACAACTAAATAAGTAAGAGCCCTTTGCGCCCATCTATGTTTGGCATAACACCAAAAATGTAACTTCTGAAAATCAACATCATGAAGCATCAAAAGCCATTTCTCAATCATTGTCAATAAATGGTTAAAACAAGATTTTACAACTGATGAGACTTAAAAGGAACCAAATATGCTACTGATGCGCGAATTGAATCACAGAACCACAATGGCAAGAAATGGAAAATCTACTTTGTTCACTGGATATGTACAAGTAAAAGATCCAGATACTTACCATAGGAAGGTTTTAAAACACAAGAAGCATCCCACCTTCAAGGAGAAAAACCTAAAACAGGGTTGGATGCTTTGCTTGCCTTCTAAAAAATTTTTTATATCACCAAACTGAATGGAAAAATATATAGAAGAGCAAAACATAAACTATACCCAGAAGTGTTAAGGAGGTATATTATGTACCCAGAAAAACACATTCTGGAAGCTCAACATAGGAACTTCATTCAACTTCATTTCTAATTAGATTCAGCTCTGGTACTGCATAGGAAACACATAACCAGAGAAACCAAAAATTGTAATATGAAAATGATACACTCCTAGACAGGTAAAAAATTACAGAGGGAAAAAGCAAAAAAGAATACAAAAACATCTGCTGATATTATGAACAAGATACTTACAATCTCCTCAAGATCGGCAGACACAAAACATGAACCATTAAATTTAAGCAACGGTTGTTTAATCTTTTCATGGTATAAAATAGGGAGAAAAATCAAAGTCTATATAAAGAAAAGTTGGATAAAAAAACCATGAAAGGAAGATTGAGATTCCAAATGTCATGGATATTTTAATTAGCACAAATCAAATCTCACAAATTAAAAAGATCACAGAGCAATAGTCAATAATCTAGTCAATGTTGTGAAAAGAAAATTATGTCAAGAAAACCAATGAATATTTTCAAAAGAGCTCTCCTATGGCCATCAAATGTCTGTTCATATAACACACAATACAGTTCTTTTGGAACATAGTAAGGTACACACTTAAGAAAAATGAACCTAACAAATTGGGAATATATATTTTGTTTATTGAAAAATAAAGTTCATATTACAAGAAGAAAAGGAGATATATTATTTGAAAATTTAAAGATTACGTAAGAGGGAAGAAAATTAACATGAATAAAACTACATAATATAAAGGAAAAGGCATAGTAAAAATACATTACCACTCCTCTCGGATTCTACTTCACCAGTAGATACAATTAAAGGTTCAATCCTTTGGCCTGGAAAATGAGAAGCAATATTTCATTTAAAGCTGGAACATTGACGAAGAGGCATAAGCAACAAGTTAACCCAATATCTTTCTAACCAAAAAATTCAGTCTACTCACCTTATCAGGGGCCTTATCCAAGGCCCAAGGCCGATCTTACTTCTTTCTCAAAATACTCCATCCATGACTAGTACAGAACTGTTAGATTGTCTCACCTCCACATAAACATTGCACTAATAATATTTTATTGAAATGAATTCAAAGCATATAATAAAAAATTCTCTTTAGAAATGCTAGTAAAAAACTTAGGATGTATTAGTTTCTTTAAAACTTAGTTTTATCTGTAGATTCAAATAATGGTAAAGAATATCTGTAGGGTCAGTATCTGGATCATAAGAAATGCTTCAGATATGAAATGGGAATATTGATCCATGTTCAACAGGACATGTAAATATGCACTGAAGCGTAAAATGATGTTTTGATGTGTTAAAAATACATAAAAAAATTGTCGGCAGAAAGAGATTAAATCTTACCATGTTCAAATCATTCAATAACAAGCTAAATAACATTTTGATCAAATCACTATTGATCACAATACTGGTATAGCATCTATAAATGAGTAGTAATAAATTTTTTAAGTTGAAAACTTGACAAAAAGCCATAAACAACAAGTTAAGCTATCAGTGCCTTATCAAAGACTATTCTTTCCTCTTTGATTTCTCCATCCATTCCCAAGTCCAAAACCATTGAGGCTGTCTCACTTCTACATAAAGTGCATGAACAAGTAACATCAGTACTAAAATACTTTATTGAAACAAATTATGGGACACATAAGAGAAATGAGTCCCTTGAGAAATCCCAGTCAAAATTTGTATCTATTAGTTTCTCCAAGATACTCAGTTTCATTTGTAGACTTCAATAACATTCATAAGACACTTCCAAAAATAAATGGGAGTATGGATCCATTCAACAAGGTATAAAAATATGCATTGAAGCTTAATAGATTTGCTTTCTCTCTTAGCTCCATGTAAAAAATAACTAAAAACATGGTTGGCAGAGAGAGATTGAATTTTAAAAACATGCTATGTTCAATCATTGAGAAACAAATTAAAGAAAATTTTGATCAAACCACATTTGATAACAATATATGTATAATAACATCAGTAAAATCTCTTGTTGGCCTGCAAACTATGCACTCAGATCAGGTACACTGTTATTAGTCACAAAAGATATCTAGTGTAATTACTAAAAGACTATTAGAGTGAATCACTAGTTTCTTTCAAAAATATCTTTCACTAGCAATTCATGCAAAAAAATAAAGAAAAGCCTATATTAATAAAAGGAAATACCGACAATAAAAGGCAAAAAAAAAAAAAAAAAAAAAAAAGGAACAAAGAAAAAAGATAATTTAGCATATCATCACAAATCTCTTGCCAGCTGAAATCGTGCACATACTTTCCCTAAATGGACCGTCATTCTCAATCCGGCTGAAAATTAGGAAAAATAGTCCCCAAAATTAGAGTGGTGAGTAGCAAAAATTTTAAGAAAATGGAAAACAAAACCGTGGATGGAGGATGCCAAAGAAAAAATGTAGCAAAAAGAACAACCTATCAGAGATATAAGGATTCTCACCCCCTGGGAGCTCTGGAATCTGGTATCCACTTCCCCTTTCTGCTCAAGCTATTAAAGAAAAAAAACCCTAAGCAACAACTAAAAAAATAAATTATCATCTGGCAGGAACACATACAACCCAAAAAAAGAGAATGACAACATATCACTTTGCAAAAGCATTTTCTTCACTGCAGTCAAGTCAAGAACCAATATCAAATATTCAAATCAGATCTTCTAGAATATTTACACATCAAAAATATTAAACATTATGTGATATTCCACTCCTTATCTGCAATTAGTCAAAAATTAGGTCCTTAATTGTATTGAGTTAAAAGTTAGAGTCCTTAATTGCATACAAAATTAGAAACTAATCTGTAACCATTGTTAATTATGGATTGCATGTTATTTTATTAAATTATGGTCTAGGTGTCTATCTTAAGATCAGATTAGTGGAGGCCAGGTGTCTATAACCTGTTAAAGTCAATAACAGTTGTCCTTATGTGGAGGTTGCCCAAGTGGGAAGGAATTAAAGTCGACTTGGCCGGAAGTATTTGAACCCTACAACTAAACTAGCCATTTTCTGTATTTTTCCTTTTATTTGGACCAAAAGGGAACGAGAAAGAAGGTGCAGATATGCTGGGCAAACTTGGAGATCCTTGAAGAATTTTGTCAAGTCTAGAATTTTGAACAAGTGTGTGTGGTAAGTATTATTCTTAATTTTAAGTCTAGACTGTCAAACAAATAAGGACACAAACAAGTTAGATAGAACATACACAAGTAATTACACAAGAAATTAAGGTACCACAGATGAAGCTATAACATAGAGAAATAAGATGAACCAGGAAAAACATGTGTTGAAACTATGAATTTCTGTACTTAAAATGAGTTCAAGTTTTGGGATTAATATGTTGTGCATCACATTTCTTTTGGATTATTCCCTGTGCAAATGACCTGGGCTAATATTATAGCCAAGGTTGTTAAAATCGCGATCTAAATCCTAAGATCGCACGATTTTACGATGTTAAAGGGCTTCAACGATCTGGATCGGACAAAAATCGTGGGTCTCGAAGAAGCGATCGAAGATCGCGCACATAATCGTGAGATCGTGAGATCGTGCGATCTTGAACGATTTTAGAAACTAAATTCTTCTGAGATTATGGATGATAATTAAG